ATGATTGACAAGGTCAAAAGCAAGCGATACAAATCATGTGAGGTCATGGGAATATTACGAGATTAACATTAAAGCGAAAAGGATGAGTAAGTGCGTAAGCGTAAGCAATGCTCAGTCGTATAAGCTCATACAAAGCAGATAGTAAGAAATACCAATGGTACATATGAGTTGTTGCTATACAAATGGCTTGGTTAAATAAATTAATCGAAAGGGCTTAACCAAGTTAGATGTAAGAGTACTGGAATATATGTGGAGGCACTACAATGGGTTGATCTTGGATAATCATTGAAGACTAGGAAGCAGTGGACAATTGGTTTGTACTTGTAGGGTGGTGAAGAAAAGCTGTAGCTCAGATGGATGATTATGGTGGGGTTTCGTTCTCTGAGACGAATGTTTTAGTTGTGGCAATTTCATTGTTCTTCTGAACGACATCATCAGCACAAACTTCAGATAGATGTGAAGTATTTGAAGTATTCTCCACGTTTGACCCTTAGTTTGTTCTGTTAACCTTGATCTTGATTGGCTGTTGTTGACGTTAAACCTATTGTTGTTTGCACCTTTATTATAGGTGGATACAATCAAAATAAAGGAGAAATTAGAATACTTCACATCTATCTGAGGTTTGTGTTGATGGTGTTATTCTGAAGAACAATGAATACTACAAAACCTGCTCAGTGAACGAAACTCCTTTCACTTGTGAGGGTCTTCTAATTCATCTAACTTTCAGTACATTAAACTGATAAGTTCGTTCAGTTCACTGTTGATTAGCTTACTTTCAGTATGACAATTTCTTTAACTAATGATCACTAAACATGATCAATATATATTAGAATGAATTTCAATGAAAATCAGTCTTTTTTGCTCTTTAACAAATTAGCCCTATTTAGAATATGTCTTTTACATTAATCTGGGTTAAGAGACAAAGAAGTCGTAGCATCCTACTACTTAATTTTAGCCATTAGTTGTTGCTGTTATCTGTTTCACGTCAATTAGTTATCAAATTCAATTTGTTAAAAGTAAGTGTAAATTTAGCTAGAGGTGAAATGAACATCCTTATTGAAATAAATTATAGACCATAAATTGTACGCTGAATAGTAAGTTATGTCATTCGTTTTATTCTTCGTGTGTTAATTAAGCACTGCCTATCAGTTATTTGATCCAGCCATTTGTATTCTACTTAATGACAGTTAGCTAATGGAATTCTGATATCGTAAGCGTAATAGATTTTATGGGATGAAATGAATACATTCCGTGTACAGTAAATCCTTTGCGTGCGTACTAATTTGCGTACATAAATAAATTCTCGGAGTTCTAGTTGAGAAGACGTGACCAATGGAGTTCAACCCTGTCTGGTGTAGGCAGTAACTACCAAAGACAAATGGGTGAGGTCGCGCAAAATGCGTAGATCAATCAGAGTTAGACATTAACAGCGTTGGATGCCGGCCCAGTGGTCCAATGGTTGAGCGTTCGCTCAAAATACCGAAGGTCCCGGGTTTGAATCCTGTGAAGAGCAAGAGTCGTGGATGCGCATTGCTGATAAGTCCCATACCAGGACGAAACGGCCGTTCAGTGCTTCCAGGTTTCTAATGGTGGTCTAACAATGATTGATTGATGATTTCAAATGTGTAAAAACACAAACCTTCAAAACTCTGCCACAAAATAAATAAAATATTTTACAAATATATAATTTTCTGTGCAACATACATAAAATTACCTGTTCAAAATAATTTTAATAACATTCCATATTCGTCTGAACTGACATAACAGACGAATGGAAGAAGAGAGGGACCATGGTGTAAAATTTATCGGTTGATCTGTTTATGATAAACCAAATGATAAGGTTGATAGGAATTATCAAAAGCAATAAACTTGTGATTATGTTGATGATAATGATAAAATTTGATCATATGACCATATGACCATACACATTTACCGGCGAAACTAAATTGACAGGGATAAAATGTTTGATTGAAATAAATAAATAATCGCAATGTCTACCTTTTACAGAATTTAGATAAATTTTATTTGTTTCATATACCTAGGCCGGATAACTTCAGATTATCAATATACGCATTCTTGAAAATCATGTGAACCGATAATTTTGATATGAAGCTGTAATAAAAATAACTGAAAACAGAATTTATTCAATGAAATTGTTTATTTTGATTGTAAAGAATCTTTATGGAATTCTTAGTAGACTAAATAAATAATCGTCGAAATGACATTTGAAGATAATGATACTTTTCAAAGATAAACAATTATCAACTTATGACTTTCATTGATGAAGTTCACTATGTCTTAATGTTAAATCAAGTCAACGATTGATGGGTGCATTTCTGGTTTAGTGAAGCTTAAATAAACTAGAAAATTTCATTTTAAAACAATAGAAACGATTATGTTTTAGTTCATAATGGGTTTATGGATTTTGTTGGTTGTCCTTGGAATCATGAATCGTTGAGTGTTAGAGCACCAATAGAAACCCATACATATCGGTGTTTCAAAGGCACACTGCCATACAGGGTTTTCAAGTTTCTTTCTAATAGTCATCGAACATTGATCGATTCATGGTGTCAATGAAATTTATTATATACCTTGTTTATACCTCATTTAGTTAGTTATTGAACATATACTCTATTAGTTGACGCTGTCAATTATGAATTTTTTCTGGGTAGGTAAATAACTAAAAAATCCAACCAATAAACTTTGTTTCTTTGATAAGTTTATGATATATTATTGTGTTACGTTGTTCTTACTTATTAGTCTGTTAGTCTGTTGTCTGACATTTTGATGTATATTACATGGAATCAGATTGTCTGTAATGTATTATTGAGCTAGTATATATATATATATATATATATATATATATATATATATATTGTAGATGAATCAATGGATTTCTTTCATTACTTATACAATTATTACTTTTAGCTGTAATTAAAACGTTTCTGATATAATTGTATCTTTGATGAATGTAATCCTTTGTATTAGGGTTACTTATTTCCTAATCGGAAGAATTCTGTCTCTACGGCACATAAATTTCTGTAGACTTTACTCATTGACTCATTTAATCAAACCTACATTTCGAATGTTTTCTGTTGGAAGATCAATTTTAGCAATTGCATTTTCTTTAGGCATATTTATTAAAGAAAATTTCAGTCGTATTTGGTATGCTCGTCACTTGATATGTTTGAAACTATTACGAGTTGACCTTAGCCGATAAACGAGAATGAGACAATGAACCAGTGACACGTTATGCTACTCACGAAAAAGTCTTGACATAGCGTAGAGAGTGTATTCTACAAACACCCAGCGAAAACAGTGATCTCAAGCACACAAACCACATTTATTTCTACATCACAGAGACGCCCTTGAGAGAATCACAAAAATAGCACACTAAAATAACACAGTAACCAATCACAGCCAAGGAAATGTGATCTCAAGGTCAACTGACTAGATATTTAAGGCATTTATCGATCGGGTTCTGGGGATCTAACGTCCCTGACAGTATTCTATTCTAAATGTTTCATTTGACTGTGCCTGTATTTTACTCAACGATAATTATTTAGCCTTGTTCGATTGTGCACTATTTTAAATGCTTTCGACACTCCATTCATAACTATTTCATGTTGTTTTCCAATACGTTATTTTTGACACAACAATAGTAAACTGTTTTTTATTTGAATTCTGTCAAATAAAAATTACTATTATTAATCACAGATAAAATTCTTCCAATTTCAGTATATAAGAGTGTTTAGAAAAAAATGATAGATTTACTGAACTACCGAGACCTTCTTTATAAATTCTGATAGATATATTTTGTATTTTAGTGTATATTTTGTTAAATTTTATTGCTTGCATTTTACTCTAAATTATGGCAAAAGAATTCTATTGGATCAAGGCTAATTATTCAGCTGAAAACAGTTTTTTTTCAATAAGGATATCGTTTATTTTCACTATCCTCTGTTATTTTGAGATGATCCCTAACTGTGATGGTATGATTAGTATATATATGACAGTTGAGCAATCTCATTCATTTAATTGTCATTATTGTCTATTCCGAACACAAAATGCATTCATGTCATATTGGTTAAATGAAATATCCTTAGATTTTCGATTACTTAAATGTTAAATAAGATTTTTTAATACAGAGCTTCAATCGAAAACAGTAGTTTTTTTTAAATTGGAAGTTAGATGCCTAAATCAGGATAAGGTATTGATTAACCAAAATGTCAAGTTCTTTTCTGTTTTTCGAAAGTCAATTAAATTTTTATGCTTGACCATTAAACTTCAATCAATGCAGTATTCCTTCATTGAATTAAAAATTCAATAATTCACATTTTACATTCCAATGAATCAAGTCAACTATGATCATGTAAGACTAACAAATTATTTTCTGGCTATAAAATATATCAGTCATTTGAGTTTACAGATTTATGTAATGACCGAAAAGTATTAGTATGCTAATTATCATTTAGTTCAGGGATGTACATAATACTTTCGTATGTTTACAGTTGTTAAAAACTGACTATACCGCTGTTATTTGTCACGTGATAGGTTCTGTTATAGTTCGGTTAAATGCTGATTAGATGTTTTAAAAAAAATTCATTTTATCAGTCAAATTGATATGAATTTATCATATTGTTCCTAACTTGAATTTTATTTATACTTGTATATCTATTTCCATGAAATGTTTAGTTAATTTCCATTCGATTGGTTCAAAAATTAACCAATAAAATTTTAATTAGATTTGATCTCTTCAATTCTAAGCACCCATTTTTTAGTTAAACACATAATACAACTATTTCATAATTGATAACTAGAGCGAAAATGTTGATTTGCCTCATGTCATTACATACATATTGTGATTTAATACAACAACATATAAAAATTGTATATTTTATCATTCCCATTATGAAATAATGAACAGTTTAATATTTTCTGTACAAAATATATTTTGTATATTTAGTTTGATTTTTAAAAAAAAAATATTGTATAACTGAACGAAATCACTAGTTAGCTGAATCATTCACATTTAAACATTTAACTGAGCGGCACATATTTGAATTATGAGTATTTTGAAAAAATATACATGTCAAATCAAATCTGCTAATTTATTTATTTCATAGGTAAGTCACTTGACGATACAGATATTCACTCTTAATTTCATGGTATTCAATGTGCTAAAAAATCTTTGATTTTTTTTTTCATGGTTTTTCCAATGTACTTAAAATTCAAAGCACCAAGTTAGGATCAATGACTCTGTGTGTACATTTAATGACTATCAAAAATAAAACTGTCAGTCTATTTGAAAAATAACTAAAGGAATTTTTATATATAAGAACATTTGATAATAAGATGTGGTTTGACAGACATCCCTTGAATACAATAATGATAATTAGGGGAATTGTTCTAAATATCTTCATAAAAACTTGTGAAACATTGAGTTTCGAGGAAATTAATCAATGCAGATTCTAATTGTAATTAACTATTGTATTTCATTAGGGTAATAGGATGATGCTAGAGACTATCGAAATTACTTACAAAATTAAAAGAAATCAAGAAAATTGTTATCTTTAGGGTTAATTTGGACAACTAAGATGCATGTTCATTGCTAAACAACCAACCGTCTTAAACGCTTTGAAGTTATCTGAATTACAAAAATGAAAATACCAATTACTGAACTGTCACTTGAATCAAAAACCAACGGCTAGAACTAGTCCGTCAATAAGATTCTTGTTACTTATCATAACATTAATTGTAAACACAAACTATTATGCATGAATAAAAAGCCATTTTTTCCTAGAGAAACTAAGCTTTTAATATCTGCTCATATTTTCTTAGAATACATAAATGAATTCAAACGAAATAAAAAAATGGATACTTAATTCTACAACATAGTACAAAGAATAAACGCTGGTATTATTCATTATATACTTCTTTGTAAATGTTAATAAGTTATACACAGAGCTTAGTAATGCTTGAAATTGTCCGATTATATTTTATTTCAGTATGCCTGCACAAAACAGAATCAATTTAATTTGTCAAAAATTTCTGTCACTTTATACATTGTAAGACTATGTTAATTCATGTAGGATTATTACACAATATAACCATAGTAATGTCAAACATTCTCATCGTTCAACATTCTAAATGCTCAGAAAATATAGATTTATTTAAATTGTTTTATTTAATTATAATAGAACATCTATTTTTGCAATTGTTCATTGAAGTTTTCTAATTACCGCCTTTTTTTCAATTGACGGTTAAACATTGATTAGTTTAGGATAACATATAAAAGTTATTTATAATATACCTCATTATTTGTATTAAAACTTATTTAAAATGGAGTAATTAAATTTTTGATCATCAGCTAATTCACCAATAATGTGTATATTAAGTGTTTTCAGGGTAACGAGAAGATGGAGTTGATTTTTAAAAATTATACTATATTTGTCTGGTTTATTTGAATAATGTGATCATATATTCAATGGTTAAATCATATGAAACCAAAAACAATGAAGGTTCATAATTAGAAATAAAAGAGGGAAGATGGATTAACAGAGAGTTGACAAGTTGTCACTTTAAGTATGATATTTCAATTGCAGTCAGTTTGAAATGAGACTGTTTGTTTTTTGAACACTTTAATAAAGCCCCTGATTGACAGAATAAGAAATGATTTTCACAAAATGAATTTAAAAAATGAATCCCTGAAATTTTCCACATAAAAATTTAATAAATGTCTTTTTGATCAATCCTATTGCTTATTACAATTATATGCTGCTATTGATGGACATTTTTTGTCTACCTTATCTGAGGCTGTTCTACTTACGGAACTATTTATGAGTTCCATCATCCTCAATAACGTTGCTTAACTGTTGCTCCATATATATATATATATATATATGGCTACTTATTTAGGAAAACTAGTATTCCTACAACTGGTATTGACTTGATTAATTTAGAAATGTTAGAACCTATGTGAAACAATGGATTTTATAATGTCAGTGATCTTTAATTTGACATTATAATATGCCATTATTCATAAAAACTGCTAAATATTTGTTTAATACTAGTATCCCAGCCACAAGACTAATTCCAATTTTTTTAATGTCGGTATTTTGGTCTCGGCTGTATAAACTCATATTTAGACTAATGGATTAATCTATTTTTATATTCTAATGAATAAATTCAAATGTCAGGGAAATTTAAGTGTACTAATTGATTGAAAAACTGATTACCTTGATGGACGAATTTCAATCATTTTGAAATATAACATTTTTTTGTTAATTCACATCCCTAAAATTTGAATATTTAACCTACATCAGTGAACCTGTTGGTATTACGTTTTTACATTCTTTTATTTCGTCATTTTTGTTCTAAATAACGTTCATTATAATGTAAAGAATTCTAGAAACCAGTGATACGTACATCAAGATAATTGATTATTTAGGTTACTTCTAAACCAAATATAAATGAAAATTATATTTTCTCTCTTCATTGTTAAAAAAATAACGTTGACGAGAATTACTAATTATTTCGAGATTCTGTTAAGGAAATGTAAATAACGTCATCTTTTTAAAGAAAAGAGGAATAGTGGGTCATAAATTTTAAATAAAATGATCTGTATTATCCTTCCATTTAAATAATTTGGAATGAAAATATTATATCTATATATATAATCAGTGAATAGTTCACTTCGAGATCAAAGGAGCTAATCTTCACCTTTCTATAATATAGATAATATTTCTTTTAAACAATTATTATTTTAAAGATGAAGAGAGAAATATGACTGTAACAATTGTGAGATTTGCTCTTTTAAAACATATTCACTAATTACTGAGATTATGGGAGAGGGTTTATTTCTCTTTAAGAAAAATCGTGAATCAAGCAGCGCAACAAACCTATGGTTGTTTTGTTATGTATAAGTTACTCATAAATTACCCATCACCTTTGATTATATGCAGTTTAGTTTTATTTAGAATGAATCAAAAGGTATTACAGATGGAAAAACCAAGATTACATACTAGTCTATAATATGGCACAAATTCGTGAAGTCATTGGTAACTGGACTGAGCCAAGCCAGTAGGTGAAGACTATGTCCGCGAGACGATAGTTAATCGATGGCTAGAGACCTTGAATAACATGGCCGGTGCATTCATTCTCTGTCTTCTCTCAAATTCTAATTTTTTGAGTTCCTCATCCTCCTTATCTTTTTCTTTTTAAGTTTATTCCACTGATTTTTACTTGAATAATACTTTCTAACCCTAATATTTTCCAAAACAGCTAACACTTCTACTACATCAACACTATGGGCCTTGAAGTGACAATTGCATCTCTGTGCTAAAGTGGTATGGCAGTTTGAACTGATGTACGTGTGTACGAATTTCAACATGTTAGCTGTTGATTCGTATTGCGACAGGTTTGAAAAGAACCAATATGCCAAAAATCATATGTCCTTGCAGTACATTATAACATAGCATAATTGACTAAAGCGGACTAAAGGTACTCACACTCTCTATGTTATAGATCTTTTAGTTTTTCTGAAAATTACTTCATCTTTGTTCATTATTTTGTTCATATCTATGTTATCGTGTCTTCTTTTTAATTGATTCTCTTGATTTCGGAATGTCTTTATACCGTTACAACTGTAACTACTGCATAAAACCATTCCAGTGTTCATTACAAAGGGTAAACTGAAACCATTTCTTACACTGAAATTGAATGACTGGTATTTTTAAGTACCGATCAGATAATAATAATGAAATAATTATAATTTTTAGTAATCTCTAAAGAAATGATTTGTAGTAAGTCACATTACTTCAGAAATACAAATTTCTACTCATTGGAATATCACCAAAGTTTATCATTATTTCATTATTATCATCTGATTTGTATTTTGAAAAAAAGTACTAGTTGTAATGTAAACCAAGGTTTCGGTTTACAGTTTATACTCAACACTGAAACTATCAATTTCAACCTCGGCACTGATATCTACATATCAGATTATTTTTAAACTAATAATCAACCAACCAAGTAAAAATTGAAATCGAACCACCATTTAGTTGACAGGCAAGATGAACATACTCACTACAATTGAATGATATTAGCAACTAGATATCGTACTTGATTAATTACAGTACTAGTGTACAACATTTAACAAAAACTCTCGTTTACTAACGGTTTGACATTACGAAACTAATATAAAATTATATTTTAAACACTTATTACACGTCAGACACTTCCGTCTATAAATATAGTTCGATCACTTTCACTCATGTGACATTTTTCTTTTCGATTGCATAATATATTTGATACATGGGGTCGACAGCATTTTTACCAGTGGTTTTTTTCACAGAACATACAACCTACACAATGGTTTTAAATAAATCTAACAGTTGTCATTTTAGTCGAATTCTGAATATTTTTTTACACATGTTCATCAGTATATTTAGTTGTTAGCACATATAAATAGTTCATTGGAAGCAGACAAATGTTTTCGTAATGCCAACAAAGTTGAAACGTTAGAGGCTACCAATTTTTGACATATCAAATAAATGTGTATAAATTTTCCTTCAATTTAAAATTTATCACAATTTCATTAGTTAGTGTCTCATTAGGTTTTGTTTAAGCCTTTAATACTGAACGAATTTTACCGATCAACTTTACCACACACTAATCAAATTCAATATTACTTTGTTCTGTTTGATTTTAACGCAGTAAATAAACCATATTGAACTCAATCATTGGTAATCTAATCTATTCTTACACAACCTTTTTTACAGTACCGAAATTTGTTTAAAGTTAAGTGTTTACATAAATTTAAGCAGTGACATTTTCGTTTATTTTCATCGAACTATTTATCTAACGGAACTGTCCTCATTTAATATTGTTGTAGCATACTCAATGTCAGGCGGTTTATTTCTGAAGCTTTGTTTTTCATTATGGACATCAAAACTTACTCTAAATTCGTGTACATTGGTTATATATATTTTTTAATAACTTCTAGTATGATTCTTCATAGATTGGTCAGACATTCTGAAAAAACCACTACTATTATCGATTCTAAAATCACTGTTTTACGCATACTTTCATAGTTTTCACTAGTTTATACCATTTTAGCGCAACA